GGAGTGACTGGCCAGGGCCTCCTGGCCTGCGAGAGCCGGGGCTGGGAGTGACTGGCCTGTGCATGTTTAGAGAGGCCAGGCCACAGAGTCGCAGGCACAGCGTGCACCTACACAGCCACTCTTCAGGCTGATCCCTGCTCTTGGCAAAACCTCCCACAGGTGGTATCCGTATAAAGGGGACAAAGGGCCTGGGTCGAGGGTTAGAGGAGCTGTTTGGCTGTGACCTCAGACAGTCCATGGACGAGGCTGTGAGAAAGAACACCTCTGCTAACATGCCCTGTGGATAATTTGGCCCAAATGGGCAGGGCGGAGAGATGGTTCCTTTTAACTGAAATACTTGTCCTGGAGGACATTTCAAATCCCCACTCTAGCCCTCTAGCACGTTCCCAGCTAGGCATTTCTGTAAGGCATTTTGACTTGTCCAGAACACTGCTGGAGTCCTAGGTGGTGTAAATGGGAAAGGTGATCAGCTGATAACTGAAAGGTTGGTGATTTGAGTCCACCCAGAGGAACCTCTGGAGAAAGTCCTGATAATCTACTTCTAAAAAATCAGGAATTGAAAACCCTACAGAGCACAGCTCTACTCTGACACGCATGAGGTCACCATGAGCTGGAATCAACTTGACAACAACTGGTTTTGTAAACACTGTTGGGCAATGTCAGGTTACCTGCCACATCAGAAAAAGCGGGAGGTAGAAATACTAGGTAAATCTCCCAACCGAGAACTTGCTGGAACACGTTACACAGAATGTGCCTTCATCTCAGGGGAGCATCCCCGGATGAACACCCAGTGACCAGCACTGGCTCACAGATAGGAGCATTTGAGGTCTTCATTCCGAAGCACGGACTCTGAGAATGCCTCTTGCTTAATGGGGCGTCCAAGTTAGCAGAAGCTCAGGAGAGGATGCGGGGCAGGTCTTGTGGGCCATGCCCACACCTGGAGACTCCCTGCTGCCAGCAGGTGCTGCAGGCTTGGGTTCTTCCTGGGCACTGGCACCTCCTTCTCTGACTGAATCCGTGTGCTGATGCTCACCTGCCCACCAAGCATTATAAAATCTAACCTGGAGGGCATTGTACTCGGCAGGACACGGTGAGACACCCCTAATGGGGACCTCAGTAACACCCACCGCAAAGGAGGCCTGCCCTGACCACTTATCTTTGAGAATGAGACTCAAATATAAATAAATATATCAAGACCTATTAATGTAATGACTGAATTTAACAAAACATATAACAAAAAGTAGGAGGAAAGGATAGATCAAATCCACTCAACAAGGCAGTGATAAAAGTCCAGAAGAAAGGAAAAGGAAATACATGCAGAAGTCAGATTTTCTTTTTTATAAAGAGAGACACAGATTCTTTTTGGGGAATGTACTAAAAATTTATAAAGATCTCAAACACACACTCCTTAGAATGGCTCTTATTGACTCATGCATGCCTTTAGGAAAGCATCGTCCGGGGCCAGGCCACCTGCCACGTAGGAGACGGTTGGGTAGGATAATGAGGAAACCACGAAACATGGAGAAACCCACCACAGCAACCCTTGGGCTTGAGAACACAACGTGAGGGATAAAGGGAGGCCCAGATGCCCGCTGGCCCCTCTGCAGAGGCGGGTGAGCACCACTGCACTGCGCACCCTGCTGGCCGGCGGAGAGTTCCACGTCCAAGCCCCGCTGTATTGGCAGGAGCTGGAATCTCCGGGTACCCTATAAGTCTCTTCGGAGTGAAACCCTGGCTGGCGTAATACTCCCACTGGATAGATTCCTTCCCCCCTTTTTGTCAGCTTGGTGTGCTTTGAGTTGCTGTTTGAAGTTTTCTTGAGGGATTTTTTTTTTTTTTTTTCGCAGATGAGCCAAGAATACTGCAAAGATAGTTTAAGGCATAAAAGAGCCAAACCCAGCGGTGAGTGGAGAGTTTAAAGCGTAGAGGTTCCAGTTAGAACCGGGGGTGTGGAGCAGGGAAAACGGCCCCTCCAAAAGCAGGGCTGGAGGAAGGACGTCCCAGGGTATGCTGCTGGCTGGAAAGTTTGAAAGACGTAGAGCTGGTGCATTCGGAAGGTTAGAGATCAGCTCTCTCTTGTTAAGGAGACACACACAAAGCAAGGAGAGCGTTAGTGGAAGTCGCCTGCGTCCGCTGTGTGTCCGTGAGCGTCCGCCCGGCCCGCGGCTCACGCGCACACACGCACATACACAAAGCTACACAGGTTTCTACGTGATCAGTGCACAGGAGACCGGAGAGTTGATTATTGCAGCGCAGCAGCAAGGCCAGGAGTTAGTAGAGGACGGATGGCGACGCGGGACAGGCGGGTGGGGGGGCCGGGCTCCGCGGAGGGCTTACCCCGTTGCTCTGGGTGGACTGCACGGACTGCTCGCTCGCTGACGAGCACGTGCTCATGCGGTCCGTGTCCTTGCTGGGGGCTGCGTGGCGCTGCGCCTGCCGCTGCAGGGAGTCGCTGTCCCCCGAAAAGGTGAAGGAGCCTGGACGGCTGGCGGGGGAGGCGGGGATGGCGCTCCAGAAAGAGGCCCCCTTCTGCAGAGGGCTGCTGGGGGGGAAAGGCTCCTTGCCGAAGGGCGAGGGGAACGTGGTGGAGAGCGGAGAGTTCAGGGGAGAGATGGCCCCAGGCCGGGGCTTTGCCAAGGGCAGGCCGCCCAGGCTGCCCCTAGGGCGGCCGTCCTCCGCGGGCCCCCGCGCCTCCTTGGCGTTCCCGTTGGTGGACTTTCTGGGGCTCTCCATCACCTTCATCTTGGGAATCGGCTCGGCTTCTCTCTCGGGACCCTCACATTCTCCGCCAGGAGGGGGCCTGCTCGGCTGGCTGGGGGGGGCCTCCGGGGCGAGGCCGCTGCTGGGAGGAGGCAGGGAGGGGCCGTGAGCGGACGTACCTGACATCTTGTCTGCCTCCGCCTGGCTCGAGGCGGCAGAGGAGACTAGCACTGGGGAGTGGTGTCGGACGGGCTGGGGGATCCTGGAGGGTCTGCTCCTGCTCGAGCTGGGCATCCCGCTGCAGCTGCTGGGGCCGCCGCTGTGGTTGCTGCTGCTGCTGCTGGGGCCCCCACTGCCTCCGCCCCCGCCGCCGCTGCTGCCCCCGCCGCCCCCGCTGTGGTTCCTCTGGTACTCGATGGGTGATGTCAAGGCTGTAAGACAGCAAGACACAGCAGGAAAGGTTCAGCCAGGGCACCAAGGAAATACCACCTCAGGCAAAGAAAGGAGCGGTGGTGGCGCAGTGGTTAAGAGCGCAGCTGCTAACCAAAAGGTCGGCAGTTTGAATCCACCAGCCGCTCCTTCGCGATGAGTCAGAATCGACTCAACTGGCAACGGGTTTTGTTGTTTTTTGGACAAAGGAAAAGGGACCATCATACAATCAAAAGGACGTGTGGACGGGAACGTCCCACAATGAAGTCACAGGGCAGTTAACGCAGCCTCATGTCATCACCGTCTACAAACACATGCAGCATAGAGGCAGCAGAGGCCACCATCCGTTAACAGAGGGAACAGGCAGGTCTTCAGTGCTACTCTCCTCTGCATTACAAGCTGATATTACATGGTCCATGGAGCTACGTGTGTGTGGGTGAGGGGCAGGAGACAGCCAACGTGATGGAGGTTCAGAGTGAATGAGGATGAGGGTTCTGAGACTCTGGTTCCCCAATTGCAGGCGGGCAGACCCTTCTGCGTCCCTCTAAACGGAAACGAGCCGTGTGGCCGGAGCACCACAGCAGGGTCAGTGTTCACAGGATGACACTGCCCTGCAGGGACCGCGGTGCTGCCAAGGCAGGCCCCACGAGGACCTTGCCAGCACCAGCTGGCCCCCACGTGGTGTGAGAGGCTGACCCAGCCTCTGCAATGTCGTCTTTAAACTAGAAGTGGCTTTGGCAAAGAAGAAACTGGTTTTACAGACCACCTCTGCTTGACGGAACAAAGGTGACAAAGGAAGTTAAAGACAAGGACCCTTGTTGGTCATGAAGCTCTCAAATTAGTGATTTAGTTTTGCTACATAATCATCTGGAGGAAATAAATAGGAAAGATACCAAGGGAAATATATGGCAAATACTAAAACCAATTCATAAAGTGTTAACTCCTTTGAGAAATAGTCAGGTGTACCAACTCCTGCCAGGAGGCACTGACACACCTCACAGAGGTCTGACTCTCAGGGAAGGAGCAGGAGAAAGAAGGGAGCTAACGTGCCCGAGCTCCCCGGCAGCACTGAGTCCAATCCTGTGGCGTATGTGTTACTACTATGACTTAGACTGGGCAGGTGTCCAGTAAACTTTAATGTCAAGGCCTAATCATGCTTGCAATTTTGGTGGCAGTTTATTCTTTTTTTTTTTTTATTAAAGAAAATGATAAAGTTTAAATACTTCCCAACAGTTATAAAGTTAGTTAAATGCTTGGTAAGGAGACTGGGTAGTGGAAATGATTTGCGATTGCTCCTAACTGAAAGGTTGGTGGTTTGAATCCACCCAGCAGCTCCGTGGAAGAGGCCTGGCAATCTGCTTCCATAAAGATTACAGCCAAGAAAACCCTATGGAGGAGTTCTACTCTGTAACACATGGGGTCGTCATCAGTTGGGGGCTGAATTGACAGCAGCTAGTAACAACAGCAGCAGCAGCAACTATATACGCTTGGTATTTAACGCCACCACTTAAGAACAGAACATCTAAAGAATCCTGCATTCAGTACGTCCACGGGAGCTAAAGCTTCCTCTATATGCGAAGGAACATTCTACCCCCTACCCTCCCAAATGCGTCACATTTGAAGTGCACATGTAAGAAATGATCAATCTGGAGTGAACACCTAGGCAGCTGATTACCACTTAGCCAAAAATATCATGTGGCTTTCTTTTTTTTTGCTGAGTACCTGTGTACCTGTTCTTGAACATTCTGCAAGATGTGGAAGTGGTTTTATTGTGACAAAGAACATTAAAACATCCTACTGGGCTGGGGCACAGAAACAGAATAAGGGAAAGAAATGATTAAATGAATACTTAGATTCTGACTGAATTCCCAAAGCTTGTCAATGATCACCAAGTTAAAACCAGAGTCAATGTCAGCCTCGGAAGTAAACAAGCAAGTAATTTTAGGTTGCAGATACCAGGAGTCGAAGCACTTACCTGCAGCGTAAGGTCAGTATGGCCACTCTCTTTGCTGGTAAGACTTTTCCCCCAAGTTGTTTTGCAAGTCCTCTATAATCACGTGTGTGGCAGAAGCCAGGAAGAATAGAACCCTGTCTTATCTTTTCCCGGGGGAGGGAGGCGTGGACTTGCAATGCAATCCAACGGAAATTCTAAAGTGCCCTTGGCGAATGTCTCCAAGACGTTTGGCCAATTCCATTTCCTGACCTGTATTCTCAAAGTGCGCTAGGGATCGAAAGCTCTAGACCGAGTGGGACAGAACGGGGCAGTGTCGTGGGAAGGGGCCCTCGCCCGAGAGTCAGACGGCCTGTTCTAAATCCTGACTCTGTCACGAACCACTTGTGTGACTTTGGGCAAATGATGAATCACTCTGGGCCTCAGCTTCCTCATCTGTAAAATGGGAACAATAATAGTATTGGCCACATAGGGTTGTTATGAAGATTAAATGTGGTGATGTATGTACAGCACTTAGAACGGTGCCTCATATACTCTGCGTGCTAAAGAAGTTCTGTATTTATTACTGGTATGTAACTGGAGGGAGAAGAGTAACAGGGATGCATACATTAGGGAAAAAACATGCATATACAGGAACAGAACACATTACCATTTAAAAAATTGCGCTGGTTTTCTAAAATTTGGTTGATTTCATGGATCCATGTTTGCCGGACACTTGGACTGGATGAATGCAAAATAAAGGTCTCCACCACGTCACCCGTCCTCGATGTCAGTGCAAACTTACAGGGATCATTTTCCACATTTTCCTCCAGGCAAAGGCAACTCACCTGAAAAACATTACAAAACCTTGGTTGCCACCGGTCAAGTGCAAATAAAAGTCTGCCCACTGTCGAACTTGAACGACCACTTTTTGGTTGAACTACCATTTTTACTGCCTCAGATACAGGTATCTTGAAGCTTTTCAATGCTGTTGCAAATGATTAAGTGCTCGGCTACTAACAAAAAGGTTGGTGGTTCAAATCCACCCCGAGGTGCCATGGAAGAAAGGCCTGGCAATCTACTTCTGAAAGAGCACAGCCACTGAAAACCCTATGGAGCACAGTTCTACTCTGAAATACATGGGGTCACCATGAGTTGGAATCAACTCAAGGGCAATTTTTTTTTTTAAAAATGGGGATTATCAGTAGTTTAACTAGTAGCTTGTACAATTAACCAGAAATGTGGACCAGATTACCTGTTTTCAAGTGCCTGCCGGGTGTCCCAGTCTTTATCCCTTACTTCCCTTCCCCAGGAGTAAAATGATCCCATTTCAAAATTCTTAAATATGAGCCTAATGTGTATTATAAAGCTATATATGATTTCACAAGCAGAATATGTAATTTGACAGATGAAGTAGAATATGTAAAATGATGTATAGAAGAGAATGTCTATGGCAGAGGAGTGACTTTCTGTCCAGAGAATTGTGCACTGAACTGGGTGGACGTTCCGGTGACAGGCATGTCATGAGGAACCCGCAGAGACCACATGGCCACAGAGTGAGGAGACTCGAACGGCCAGGGCGGGGATGGGGGATGAGAAGCGTAAGGGCAGAAGGGCAGGGGGTGGTGTGAGGTAAGAGAGCCCCCTGCCCTGGGTGCAGGGTCTCTGATCCTCCCCAGGTACTGCTGGGCCCAAGAGCCTCCCCAGCCTGGAGGCTGAGCCATGGACAGACCCACCCGGGTTTAGACATGGGGGGCTGGAGGGCCCACAGGAGCCACGTGAGGAGCCAGGTGGAAGAGGAGACAGCATCTGTCTGTGCTCTGTGAGGTCTCCAGGACTCAGCCTGTGGAGTCCCCTGTACCCGAGGCCCCCATAGCTGCAGAAGCAGGGAAGCTGAAGCCGGGAAGAAGCGTGCCTCTCCCAGGGACTGTCTCCTGGGCTCAGGCCTCCTTCTCTGTTACTATCTCCCCACCCTTGGTTTGTCTCCTTGACAGGAATTAGGGCCACTTGCAATTCTTGGTCACCATCAGCTGGAATTGACTCAACAGCAAGATAGGTCCCTGGGTGGTGCAAACGGTTTGGGCTTGGCTACTAACTGAAAGCTTGGCAGTTTGAATCTACCCAGTGGTGCTATAGAAGAAAGGCCTGGTGATCTGCTTCAGTAAGATTACAGCCACTGAAAACCCTACGGAGCACAGCTCTACTCTGACACACATGGGGACGTGAGGAGTCGGAGTTGACTCAATGGCAACAGGATTTTTTTGGGCTTATTTACTTGTCTTTCTCCTCCTTCATAGAGCAAGCACCACCAAGGCAGAGACTGCACCGTCTGGCCACCCCTGAGCCCAGCGCTGATAACACAAGAAATCCTTGCTGGACGAATGAGAGATGACGACACCAAGTTAGTTATCTTTCCTGGTCGCAC